AATCTCATTTTAAAAGGTAATGATCTGTAATCTTAAATCAGGTGGTCGGAGACTTTTGACCGGGGAGTGTACATGTACATACAGTCAGAGTTTATTGATGTCTTCCATTAATAAATAATATTGCTCTAACTATTGAATTCCAGGTAGGGGGGAAATAAATATAAATAATATCAAAGGGGGGATATAAATTAACTATTTCTATATTATTAAAACAACCGATATTTATCGATATGCGTCAATCTTGTCAAGTGAAAGTTGCTGCGCGTCGGAATTCTTTTAAAATAACAAGAAATCAATTAATTATACTTTCATTAGAAATTATATAAAAGGAAGGAAAACTTACGCAAACATTATCCATATTTACGGTTCGCATCATCATCATGCTGGAATTTGGGAGCTTCAAATTTGCTGGATGCGATTCTCCAATAATTTTACCTAGCATTCTATACAAGAATTTGATCACATCTTGGACGCGATTAACACTGTACTTTTGCAATGGTGTGATAGAAATGAGATTGATTGATGCAAACTTATTCCCAAAAGTTGGGTCTTTGGAGAGTGGTATCCCTGGCTTTGCAGGATCAAAGCCATCTTGATGTTTCGCATACTGAATCATCAAGATGGAAGTTATGAATAAGCAAGGCGCGAAAATTCAAAAAAGATTTTACAATTTAAAAGTGAAATCACTTACACGTCTAAGGAAATTATCTCTAAATGTTATAGTGATTATGTTATCTGGTTCAGCTTGAACATCAACAATTTGGTGGAAGGGAATGCTAATTTCGTCTTCGAGGAAATTAACAAGTAGGCTAATTTCCTGCATGTCAGGACGAACCAAAAATCCCATGTCATCATCACAAAAAGATCGAAGAAAACTGAAGGAATCCCCTTGTTGGAACTTACAACTGGAGATTGGGAAGAATAATTGATTGTTGAATGTTGTGTATAAGCGTGCCATTCCGCTGTTGTTAACTTGGTTCATTTCTTGTGTTACCGTTGGATCGTACCATTGATCTGAAATGAAGAAAGATTTATTGGAAGCCTAAAATACATTTTTACTAGATGTAACTAATATTTAATTTTACCTTTACGATCACCAATGTGTTTTTTCATCATTTTGCCAATGGTTTCTAAATCTTCATCGTTCACCCATTCACATCCAATAACGTGAAGTTCTTCCGCACCTTCGAAGAAATTTCTGATTGGATTACCTTCGTCACATGGAATTTTCTTTGTGCGATTGAAACCGCGTGGATGATGGTAAAACTAGATTTTTTTTGGTTGGCATTTTTTAGTACGTAGATATATTTTGCTATCCAATTAGTATATGTAAAATACCTTTTTTTCATAATCAGGTTTCAACTTAATCCAAAATCCTTTTTCACGACCAGGATCAAATCCATAAATTTCACTAAATGGAATCACGATTTCATCCCTCATATTATTGGTAGCTATTGACAAGGTTTGTGCATTAAACGCCAAGGTCATTGCTAATTTCGAGTTTTCTGCCCAGTAAAGTACATGATGTTGTTTTTCCGGGTCTTCGTATTCAATGTAACATCGATGTAGGTCAACTACATAATATTGCGACGAAGCTGTTTGTTTTTGATGTTCAGGTCGCTGTTTATGGTTATATTGTTTATGTTTTTTGGGGTACTCTTTTTTCACGTTACTCATGGATAAAAATACTCTTACGTGTAAAGACAGAAAAATTTATATTTTGGATAGAGAAATATGGTTTAATCGAGTTAAAAAAATTAATGTTGAAATTCGGGTTTTGATGTTATATATATTTAAATTAATAGCGGCAGCGTGTGTGTGTGTGTGTCAGTACAGTGATGTCAGTTAATTGTTTTTTATCTTTTATTACTACATTTTATCATAAGCTCCTATTTATAAGTATATATGTACAAATAAGTAAAGAATGACGGTCACACGTATGGGTACGTGCATGTAACAACAAATTAATGTTTAAAATGAAAATACATGTAGTTAATGTAGTTAGGGGGGATAATGTAAATGATAATAATAGGGTGTGTGACCGTTAACAAACAAACTGCGTACACATTTTCAATTGTTTGATTGGTACATGTATACATACAAGTGACTATGACTATGCATGTGCTTATTTTTATCTGATCAAAAGTCTTATCGTCATACATGTATAAACAAAATTTATTTTAAATACATTTTTGAGACAACATCCGTCCTTATAACGTAGTTTGCTAACATTTTTTCCAATGCAATCACTCGTTCTCTTAAAAATTTAACTTGATCCTTCAAATCACTATCACTAGGTTGCTGTTGCTGTTCCTTCATACCACCATCCTCTTGAGATTGTAATTCTAAATCCTCTAAATCCAAGAATGGTATTTGCACTCCCGTCTTCGAAGTCCTCTTATAAAAGGTACTTTGTACGTTAAATAAGAAAAAACGGGTGGCTATTCCCCAGGGATCAAATCGGAAATGACCAAATAATACGGTGTATGCGAGTACAAGAAATGAAAGTAAACCGGACAGTCCGGTGACAAAGTCCCATACCGTGTATGCTGTTTGTTCTCTCTCTTGTTCGATTGTGGTGGTTTTTCGTCGAAAGTATAATGATGTTTGCGGTAGAGTCTGACCATTTGATGTAGAATTTCGATTGCCAAGTCCAAGAAATGGATCAAAATTAAATAGCCGTGTTGGATCGGATGCACCCCATGCGAAATATCTCGTCTCATAGTATTGTAGAAGGTATTTATACCCGAATGGGATTTTGAAATTTTGACTGATATTACTGTCATTTCCAGCTCCAAAAACTGTCACATCAATCAATGAAGTCATAACGCTAAAATTCCCCGATTGTGAAGTAATCGCAAACCCGAAAAATGGCGTGCTATCCGAATCAATCATATACATCTCACCATGAAACAATGCACATTCTTGATAATCATTAACTTGATCATCTTCATCATCTTCAGAATCACTCGTCGCATTCCAATAACTAATATACGACGGGCCAATTGAAGTGGTGTTTGTTGCGCCTGGACCACCTAACGACGCTTCAACATTAAATCCGCCAACCCCGCGTAAATTCGTATCAAGTAAACAGAATTTAAGTGTTGGTGCGAATGTTGGTGCGTTTTTCACTGTCTCCATCTTTAAAATTGGCGCTCCAGCGAATTTTCGCATTAGATTCTGCGTGACACATGTTATCACTATTGTTGCTAGAATTGATAAGGTTAGAAATCGCGCTGATATTTCTGCTTTACTGAGATATCTAAAGTGTACCATTTTTATTTAATTGAAAAAATTTGTTATAAAGTTTTACTGTATATTTATCGTTATCACAACAGCACCTTATTTCATTGTGCGCAACAAGTTTTTTTCGTAAGTTTTTTTCGTATATTTATCTTAAGAAGTGGCTTATTGTCATTTCTGTATTTGCTATGAGAATCTACGCCGAAAATAGAAAGGTTAGATTATTAACTAGCCCACTTCCGGTCATTACAATGGCTTGGGCTCTTTTGGGTAAATATGTGATGTGATTATTAGTAATCCCAATAAACGAATGATACAATCTAGAAATATTTTTAGAACTATGGGCCTTACCGATGGAAAAAGCTATTTCCGTATATAAACGAGTAGCGTGTATTTCATAGTTAATTCTACGACATGTCAATCGTGAAGATCTATATAAGAAATACCCTATTTACAGCGTACTGGCAAAATGGAATAAAAGTGTAACGTTAACTCTTCTCACCGGAAATTTTGCCAATACCCACATTCTTTGATGGCTAACTTAAGATTTATCAAAAAAAACCTTTCGTACACAAAGTTTTATAAAAAATTTGTATACTGTGAGAAATCAAGTAATATACGGAAATATTCCATACTTTTAAATGAACATTGCAAATAATTTGTTCTGCGTAAAGAGTTTTTCCGATTACAATCTTAACTTCATATAAATAATCAAAATTATATCAGTAAAAAATTACTATATATCAAGAGGTAAATGTTTTAAAAAGTTATTTTATTTTATATGTATTACTAACTTATATTTATTATCATAGTAAACTCAAAAGTGAAAGTTTATTTCAGATTCAAATTAATATATGAAATATATTAAAAAAGTAATTGAAAGAAAAAACTCATATCTGCTTTCATTAAAGTTTTCAATATTACAAGATTATCTCAAAATGTCATTGCAAGAAAAATTAAATAACTTTTGGTAAAACAAAATTAAGCCAATCTGTAATTTCAAATATATTACCTTATATTAATATTCTACAAAATGAAGAAATATTCAAACAAAAATATGGAATAGATTTGATCAAAAATTATAATATCAAGATTTAAAAATAATAATCTTACAAAAAAATATATAAATATATTATTAAAATATTTAATAATATTTATAAATTTAAAAATGCAAATTAATTTAAAGATAAGTAGTTTAATTATATATTTATACTTTTATAAAAGTTTATCTTTATTATATTTTACAATATAATATAACTAGTTTTAATAATAAATATATTTATTATATTTATATAAAATTATATATATTTAAAGTATTAAATAGATATTATATAAAATAATTAATTATAGATTCAAAATTAACTTTTTTTGCAAGTAATTTATTATTTAGTATTTAGTATTTAAAATTAATATTTATATTAAGTATATAATACAATATCTTAATTTAGAATATTTATTTATAATATTATATAATAAGATATATTGATCTTAAAGTATTATATCATATTTTTTATATAATAGATGAAATTTTCTTTTTTTATTATATTTTTTTTAATTTTATCTTATTATTTTACTATATTCTTTAAAAAAAACTTTAATAGTATAATAAATTATAATTATAATAATTAATAACTGAAAAATTCAAAAGAATAATTATAAAAAATATAATTATAGAAAAATATAATTATAAAAAAATCTAATTGTATATTTTTATTATTTTATTTTATAGAATTTTATTTTTTATTTATTTTATAATTATTAATATAATTTTATTAATAATTATATTTTCCTTTTATATAAAATAAAGTTTATAAGTTACAGTTTAATATATATATATATATTAGATTTTTTAGATTTTTCTAAAAGAATTATAAAGTTAATATAAAAATTTTACTAATATAATTAGCAAAAATCTTTGTATTAATTTTATAATTAAAATAATTCTTTCAGAAAAAATTATAAAAATCTGAAATAAATATAAATTAAATTATAAATTATAAGTTTTATTTTAATATAAAAAGAATAATAATTATTAATAAAACTATAAATTTTAATATAAAAAAAATTAATTTTCATTAATAAAATTAATTTTTTATATAAAAATTATATTATTTATTATATATTATTATTAATTTTTTATTATTAATATTTAATCTATTTTATTTTTATATTTATTATTAATTATAATTATATTATTATTATATTATAATTATTTATTTAAGCTTTTAAAAATTCTAAAATTCTTTTTAAAAAATATATATTATTATTATTTATTACAAAAAGTTTAATATATCAGATAGATATTAATAGATTATTTTTTTAAAATAAAATTTTTAATTTAATTTTATTTAATTAAGTTATTAAATATTAAAATTTATTTAATATAAAAATTTTTATTATATATCTTTATAAAAAATTTTTACTAATAATAATCTTTTTAAATTATTATTTCTTAAATTTTACTATATAAAATTTGATTAAAATTAATATAAAAATTATATAATAAATAATTTAATT